TATTTATGTACATGTATATAGTCTCATGGTACAAAGGAGTCGTCGTCCCAAAGCAAACCGCACACATGTGGTGCGGTCATAGCCTAAGGCTCTTCTTTATCAACCCGCTCCCTCTTCCGAGAAATATTGCTATGCAAATATTTCTATTGCATATTTTCGGGCACGCGGCCGAATTCCCGGACTTTGGAGGGATGGGGATGCATTGCACAGTGGGTCCAAGGGGCGTGGCAGCGGGACTTACTCCAAAATTGTGCAAGTATTAATAACCTATACACCTTTTATTACTGTTCTATATAAAAGCAAAAGAGCCGAATTTAAGCGCAGATTCTCAGTTTTTCGGAATCCGTGTAGTAAACCGGAACAGTAATATTTACCTATCCGATTTATAATGACCCACAATCATGGTTTTGTTAGGATACAATAACCTATGATATGATGATAAATTTTATGATTAGGTATTATTTCATTTTTGATGAAAAACCTATGTATAGTAAATTTTTGTATACCACTGGTGATCGTCCCAAATCAAATCGCATACATATAATTTATAGCTAAAAGCTCATCTTTATTTCTAATTTTTTTGAAATATTCCAATACAAACATAAGCATTGTTTACTTTTGGGACGCGGCGAGATTTCCGAGTTTGGGGGGGGATGAACCGTCGGGAAATTTACAGCTTACTGGGGACAAAAAAACAAGCCACATCCAGACGAGATAAGCTTTAGATGGATGGCTACAAAAGCAGTGGCTCGGCTCCCGACAGAATCCAGTCTCCACCGCGATGTCGCTCACCTCAAAGCTGCCAGTCTATCTGCTCCTAGTCGCTATTTCCGCGGGCGGGAGTCTGTCCTACGATGTGCCCAAGGCCACCGTCAAGGTTAACTCGCCGAAGGGATTCGAGGTCTCCATTCCCCACGAGCCGGGCATCTCGCTGTTCGCCTTCCACGGCAAGGTCAACGAGGAGATGGACGATCTGGGCGATCAGACCTGGGCGGCCGATATAGTGAGTTCCCGCAATGGACGCTGGACATATCGCAACCGGAACCAGAAACTTCAAACCGGAGATGTTCTTTACTACTGGACCACGGCGCGGTACCATGGGATCGACTACCACAACTACAACCAGGTGCATGTGGTCGGCGGAGGGGATTCCCAGAGAATTGATGTGAACGGCTCCAACGGTGGTCACCAGCCTATTGTCGCCAACGGCCACAATACGATTAATATATTTGTTCAATAAATTAAGCGTGAATACATGTTTGTACTGTTTTATTGCTTGAGCTTTGTCAATAGCCAAATACAAAGTCATATCAAGACCGCTTTATCCATCAGTCAGGTTTGTATGCCAAAAATTTTATTAATACTAGTTTATTTCAAAACAAGAAGGCAAGCTAACGTCCGCAAGCCAAATCTTATGTACACTTGGTATGCTTTTCATATCAATAGTTATTTCGAAAAGAAGTATGTTATAGAATTATTTAATAAACAATTTGCGACCCCGACTTTCTAAATAAAGTATCAAAAACAGCGTGGATTGCTGTGAAGCTCTAGTGAAAGTGAATCTACAATTTGTTTGCTTTAATAATGAATAATTTGACAGATATCGAAGAATCGAATTGGTCGCATATGACCTTCCCTAAGGTTTTTATAAATAATCATTTTAAAATATAGTAAGTTCACAAATATTTTAGTTAAATATATATTCAGAATGCGGCTACAATTACCACAGGCTTCAAAACAGTGGCATAGCTGACCTCGACCAGATTAACACCCTGGAATGAGAACAAAAACAAACTGATAAGAAAACAAGAAAGGGAAGCTAACTTCGGACGGAGCCGAAGTTGATATACCCTTGCAGAATACTCTCTTAATTATATTCTCCAAAATTATTCATATGATGCATTCTTAATACTCATAAAAAATCCCAACTTCCTAACTTTAAAAACATTATGGCATTTCCAATCGTTCAGTTATATGGCAGCTATAGGATATAGTCGGCCGATCCTTATGAAATTTGGTAGGTCGGATTGATAAAAATAAAACCCATAGAAAATCCCAACTTTCTAACTTTACAAACACCAAAGTTATGGCATTTCCGATCAATCAGTTATATGTCAGCTATAGGATATAGTCGGCCGATCGTTATGAAATTTGGTAGGTCGGATTGATTGGCCAAATATAAAACCCTTAGAAAATCCCAACTTCCTAACTTTACAAACACGAAAATTATGGCATTTCCGATCAATCAGTTATATGGCAACTATAGGATATATTCGGCCGACCCCGGCCGTTCCGACTTATATACTGCGTGCAAAGGAAATAAGGGTGTGTGCAAAGTTTCAATTCGATAGCTTTAAAACTGAGAGACTAGTTTGAGTAGACGGACAGACGGACAGACGGACAGACGGACGGACGGACGGACAGACGGACGGACGGACAGACGGACATGAAGGTGATCCTGATCAAGAATATATATACTTTATAGGGTCGGAGATGTCTCCTTCACTGCGTTGCACACTTTTGACCAAAATTATAATACCCTCTGCAAGGGTATAATAATCTCAGCTTGATATGGAAAAACACCTGTTATTAATAATACCACAATAATACGGCGAATTTAAAATGTATAGCCAATATCAATCCGATATGAAAAATAACCATAATGTTATGTTTGAAAATATTAGTTCTTTTTACTCAAAAATTGTCTTCAGTAAAAAATACCGGTTGATGATCAGGTTAGAATATTTTGATCAAGAGCCATTCTAGTTTTACACAATCTGTAAAGGGAAGATGAGGCAGATAAACCAACATATTTATTGGAATATTATTTGGGATATATTATTGGAATATACAATTAGAAATAAAATAACCTCTTTAATGGTATACATACACAGTACTCTATTAGTTTTAGGTAATATAAGTACATTTTTTTCAAATATTACATACTTTACACCTGATCAGAAAAACAATCATAAAACCGTTTATTTTAGGTAAAATATCCATACCGGAAAATATACTACAAATAAATTCAGGAGGCAACTATTTATTTTTGTTGATTAATTTAAAAAATTTTTCACGACTTGTTATGCTAAATTGTAATAAATTATTTTAACCACAAACAATGGCTAAATTATCCTCATTTTTGGTAAAACGATCCCTAACAGCAACAATGTATTTCAATACCATTGCATGGTTTTATTTTTTCCCATTAGAGCTATAAATCAAAGAAGCACTTTGTCACAGATACGCAAGTAAGTATCCGGATCGTATAAATCATACTGAAAAGTTCTCCAGCCCGCTCATCACACGGGTTTGAAGGGCGACACCCAAAAACTGCCGCCATACATTGGAGGGAAGCAACCGAGGACACCGAAAAAATGCACCAAGGAATTTAGCCAGGTATGACAGCACCACCCTCAATACACTCTCGTCCATAAACAACTGCATAAAAGGATGCGCTTGGACCATTTAACTTTCCCCCAAGGCTAACAGAAAGCAGATAAAACTTTTTGCCATGTCAGTCCCAGTTGGTGCGCTTTTGGTGGCTTAGAAATGTCTGATGTTGCGTGTGGTGAAAGGCTTTCACTTCTGAGCAGAGAGTACTTATTTGATCGAATTGAATTTTGACTTAAATAAATATTTTTATAAATGATAAATTCCTGATATTACTCTAATTCGCCCTGAAAATGGATTTTAATTTTAATTTATTTATTTACCCATTAAGGTAAACTAAATCTGACTCAGGATTAGTTCTAAGAACTCAAAATCAAACTTATCAACATGATAAAGTTCTATAATAACATTGATTTCTTGTCGAAATTAAATAGCATTAGCTTATAATCATATGATAAACTTTTAGATGAGCCAAATTGCACATTTAATATGGCTCTAGCATTAACAGCCTAGTGTGTGTGAGGTTTTATATTTACTGTCAGTTTTTATAAGTCAACAGTATATATTTGGGACTCGAAACATTTTTAAATCGCTTATTTAAGCTAGCTTGTAAAGACAATTATTTAAAAAACCCTGAGGCTATATCTTTATCAAGTCAAAGCCGTAAATCTTAAATAGATCTTTGACCTGAAATCTGTGAAATAATTCAAAAAGACAAATATATTTTAAATGTGTATTAAAGAAATATACTTTTAGGCTGTTAAATCATTTTGGTAACACCTGGATCCGCTCCTCGCGCCGACTGTTTTGTGTTAGTTTGCTTTGCCTTGCGCTTGACCTGCCTTGCTGACCGCTTTCAGCCGAGAATCGGAAAGCAAGAAAGTTGAGTGTGAACAGAACCCGAGGTTTTAGAAAATTACATAATGTGCCTGGTTGGAAAGGGGAGGGACCCAATTCCTGCTATATGGAATAATAAATATATTATTATATGCCTGGTCAGGCCATTTGTCACAACTCATTTGCAGTGCATTAAGCATTTATGCGGAGAGGTGTTCGCAAAGCTTTTGCACTTTTTCGCAATCATACATACATGCATTTAAATACTTATATACATGTGGGCAATATACAGGTGGGCATGTGCAAGTGTGCATATATCTGTGGCACGAAGGTAGCGGACTAAGTGACGCTGTCAGCAACATTTGCGAGCTGCACTGCTCTCATTTTCTCATTTCGCTTGGCGAAAACTGCCAGCTAGCGGCAAGATTGTGGCATTCGCAGTTGCACTTGCAGTGGCACGACCCACCTGCCCCTGCCACAGCACCACCCACCTGCACCACCCACGGACACCGGCACATGCTTCATTTAACGCCCATATACACTCACATTGGTCGCCGTTTTTCACATGGCAGGCGCTAAAATGACTTGTGACGACAACATAATGCGAAAAGTGTGCAAAAAATATATATATACCTACTACGTCCATACAAACTCCACACATTTTTTTTTAAAGCCTCAGGTGGAGAGCACTTAATGTGGTACTTAAGCTTCTTATGCTCGTGGCATTCAAGCGTTATTTAAATTAAATTTAAAGGCCACAACCACTCTTATTCTCATATAAAATAATTGAAACACGTTTATTTGGCAAGGTTTGCCTTTTGAACTAAATTAATTGCTGCCGAAAAAGCTTCAACTAAACGGACTTCTATTAAATTCCGTTTCCGAAGGGTCCACCTGTTTGACTTCCTGTAATGAGTTCCGATTCCTGGGTATTTGTTTTAAACGGTCCTCCAGTATTGCTTCCACTGATTAGACCAGAATTTAATTTGCCTTCATGATTGACACTTTCAAATGGTCCTCCTGAATTACTTCCACTGACTAGACCACTTCCACTATGGCCAAACGTACCTTGGCTCCTTCCTCCAGAAATTAGACCTTCATGGTGAATGTTACTGACAAATGGACCTCCAGGCCTGCTGTTACTGATCAGACCACTTTCAGGTGACAAACCATATCTTCCTTGATTTCTATCAAGGGGACCTCCACTATTTCCTCCAGAAATGAGTCCTTTATTGGAAAATGGACCTCCAGTTTGCCTGCCACTGATAAGACCACTATCACTGTCACTACCAATTGAGCCGTCTGTCCATTGATTACTGCCAAAGGGACCTCCACTATTTTGTCCGGAAATTAAGACCTCTTGATGATGGTTACTGGCAAATGGTCCTCCAGTTTTACTGCCACCGATCAGTCCACCTCCACCTTGGCCATAATTACCGCCAAAGGAACCTCCACTGTTCCCTCCAGAAATTAGACCTCCTTCATGATTGCCACTTCCAAATGGGCCTCCTGAATTACTTCCACTGACTAGACCACTTCCACCATGGCCAAAAGGCCCTCCGCTGCTTGCTCCAGTTATTAAACCTCCTTGCTGATCGCCACTTCCAAATGGACCTCCTGGTCTACGACCACTGATCAGTCCATTTACTCCTTGGCCTCCAAAAAATCCTCCGTCGGATGGTAAGCCGTAGTCTCTGTAAACAAGTTGGGCCAAACTCGATCCCAGTGTCAGCAGCATCACTAGCAAAAACGACCTCATGGCAAAGCAAGCAAATAGATGACTGATCTCCCAAAACGTTTCGTGTTATTTCTAAGATCAGTCAGCGAATACAAGCAAAATAAACAGAGCTAGGCAAAGAAAAAAATAACTCAATGAATCAGATAACCCATCAATCAGTAGATGACGACAAAGTGTCGGGAAGTTTATCAGTATTTTTCGAAGCTTGAAAAAGCTTTTGAGCTTGATCATTAGTTTTCTGTTATGCATTACTTAGCTTTGAAAATCAATTTTATACGCTGGCTTGCAAGTTTTTAGGAATATTATTTTAGGTCCAGCAAAAAAAAAATCTTGACGCTAAATTCATTTTGTGCTAAAATAGTTTTAAAAAAATAACTTCCCGTTTTGTGTTTAAATCGGCTTATTTTATTCAATTTTGATAATAAAACGAAAACAGGTAAAGTTCTCGTAATTTTAATTAAACACTTATTTTTAATGGTTTGCGGTATAAACCAAGATGAAATTCCGTTTACGTTTGATATATCTTTTAATAGGGCAGTAAAAAACGGCAGTAATATCTCAAAGTCAAATCCTATTTAATTATCCAACCAGAGAAAACTTAAATCCAAAATTATAATATGAACGTAATGGTTTTAATTTCAAGTAAAATACATTGTGACACAACATTTCACTAGACTATCAATATTAATCAGTTTCTCCTAAAATGTTAAGGCTTGTGTTGACTTTTCTTGAATGTATGTTATTTCAGGCGACGAAGCGACCGCCATAAATCGCAATCAGAAAACTTAAAGACAGCGGAGGCCCCTAAGAAAATGTAACATCCACCCATGAATATAAATACGTGTCCGGGCTGAAACTATTCCAGGAAAATGAGGGCGCCATCTAATGGGTAAAATATGAAGCCGCCACCCAACTCTGGAAGGGGGGGATGGGCGAATCGGGCGGAGACGGGCGAATCGGGCGGAGACGCGGTTAAAAAAGCCGGCAGAGTGGCAAATTAATTATAAAAGATTCCGCTGCCACCAAGTTAAATATTTTTGCTCAACTTCGGTTCAAACTGCGGACGGACACGGGGCGTTGCCGTGGAAAATAAGTTGCCAGTAACTTGACGCACATTTGTCAGGTTTTTTCCGTGAAAAGGGGTTAGTGGGGCTTGAAGTGGGCTGTATGAGAGTTGCCAGTCTACAGGTGTCTTCCACAAGCGGCGAGAGTGAAATTTTCGGAGAAAAGCGGATGGTGTGACTGGGGAGCGGCTGATATATAGCTCTTTGAAATTAGTCCAAGTGCAAAGTGTTCTGAAAGGAGTAAAAAATTGAGAAAATGGGGAAAAAATCGCGCAAAATGGAGAAGAATTGCTCAACTTTGTCAGGCTGTTGTCGATGATATTTTCTTAGGGGTTACCTTTACGCAGATGTTCCATTAAAATCGCTATAATAAAAATAATTTTAAATATCTACAATACAAAAAATACAAACATTAATAGAAAGAAGAAAGGAAAGCTAATTCGGGCGAAGCCGAAGTTGATATACCCTTGCAGAATACTCTGTAAATTATATTAATACTCATAAAAAATCCCAACTTCCTAACTTTAAAAACACCAAAGTTATGGCATTTCCAATCGTTCAGTTATATGACAGCTATAGGATATAGTCGGCCGATCCTTATGAAATTTAATAGGGCGGATTGATTAATGAATAATTTTGGAGAATATAATTTACAGAATTTTCTGCAAGGGTATATCAACTTCGGCTCCCGAAGTTAGCTTTCCTTTCTTGTTGATTATGATATGGATATGGTTATAGATATCTTTTGATAATTTAGTGCAAGCTTTTACAGTGAATTAACAATATTCAAGTGTATGATTACTTCATATAATGATTATGTAGTTTTCTGCTAATTAATTTGGTTGCAAATATCCCACCGTCTCGTGGCACAATTTAGAAAGCTTTTATTGAATCTTCAGACTCGCCTTCACTGCTCTATGAAAATCGATTGAATCTCTGATAAACAGCAAACTATTATCAGCTTCCATCAAATTAGAAACTAATTTATTAGTTTATTGGTTCAAAGTGATTGAATAGATTGCCTTAAAGCTCCTCCTCTATCACTAAACAACCAAATTAGGCACCGTGTAAATAAATTTACATCTGCAACATGTACATTTGAAAACACTTGTGCTGCTATTCTGGATCATAACAAATATATATATTTATATGTATATATCTGTGCTTGTATTCCCGGGCTGTGTACCCAATTAGCATTAATGAATCCTCATCCTCTTGCAGGTAATGCCTATAAAGTAAAGCTCGCCTTAATAATTGAGTTAATGTCGCTTCGCTGACGCTCACTTTGCCCCAAGTTGTTGTTTACTTATTAAGCTAATTGTGTTCATTAAGACCACCTGCCTTTGTGCAAGTACTTTAAAACTTGAGATTGTTGCCATTTTCGATTGATCAAATGCACTTTCCGTGTCTTTGGCCCCCTCTCCACTTGACACTGTTCTAACAATGGCTCACGTCGCAAGTCATCTGCAGCAGTCCACCATCGTCGTCTGCATTTCAAAATCGCACACAAAACATTTGCCAAATGCGAAAATGCAGTCAATGTCGTGCAATATGCAGTGTCTCCTAACCCACCTAACTTACCACCAACAGATCCAACTCTCTCCCCACCAGCTCACAAGCTTACACAGCGAATAAATTTGAAAACAAAGAATTTGGTTGCGAACAATTCGTGTCCAAATTCTATTAAGAATATTTGTCTTTGCATTGGGAATAATTGGTCAAGAAATTAAATTGCTAATTTAAATAAAAAATTTTTTTATAAAATTTCGAAATTTGTTTTTATCTACTTTTTTTTTGCATCTGATATAATGTTTTTGGATATAACAAATTTCTTAAGAAAATGTTTTATTAATTTCTGTACAGAATTCAATAGGTTACTGTTTCTTAAAGTTAATATTTGGTTGCACATCATACAATTTAGGTGTTTGCCTTTATATACCGCCTTAAATATTTAAAAAGCTCAATCTCCAAATCTATCTAGTCTAAATAGCCGGAGACGGTTTCATTTTCCGCTTAATACTTTTCACGAGGTGTAAAATGTTTGACTTAATTTAAGTTTTCCATAATGAATTAATTAATTTTAAAAGTCCTTGACTTAAAATCCCGATTTCTATATCAGTGTAGGGGGATCGCCCCCATTGAACACATTTTTTTGTGATTGTGCAGTCAGCCGTTGATAGAGACATTGAAGAGCGACAGAGAGCGAATTAGAGAAAGAGCGAGAGGGGGAGGGATAGCGGGAAGGAGAGGGAGAAACAAACAGAGTGAGAGAACAAATACCTCTAGTGCTATTTTCAAGCTCTGTGCTTTGTGGAAATGTTTGTTGTTGGTGGCGCTGCTTACGCTTTGCAATTGTTGTTATATTTAGCATCGCAGACGCAATTTATATAAAGTTTAATTGATTGGAAAATCAAATCGATTCGATTCGCACTGCAGCAGCAACAGCAGCAACACGGATTTGCCTTTGACCAGGCGCAGATTGTAGGGGAATTCCCCTAGTCCAAAACGGAAACCGACATCCATGGGCCAACCTACAAGCCGTATTTCAGTCTCAAAGTCGTTTATCTTGCCGCCGTTTGGAAACATTTCTGATCTCGGTTTGCAGTTGGGCTAATGTACGTCGCACATAAATACAATAAAGAACATTTTGGGGGTGGCAATAAAAGCCAAAGCAACACATTGAGGTTACATTAAGCTTCTTAACCTGAACTTGACAGGCTGAATTCAATTACAGCCCTAACGTGCTAGAACAATGAAATAAATTATTTAACAAGTAAGTCAGTTTATACAAAACTTTCCTTTGGGGCGGAGGAGAAACTTGTACATGCTCATAAACAATGAAATAAAAATTATAATAACTTTATTGGTCAATTCAGTATGAAGTTTGATATCAATAATTTCGTTTATTTCTTTTAAGCAAAATACTCAATTAAGCTCTGGGCAAATAGAACACATCTGCATAATTAATAGAAAAGATGAACATTAATTGCACTTGTAAAAGACGATTTTGTTTAAAATTTGTCTATTGTATGTGAAAATTGAAAACGAATATTTTCAGAATTTTATTAAATAAATTTGATGATACTTGAAATTATTTAATATATTTCTGATACTTTGTAGTTCTGAAATTAAGCAAAAACTACAGAAAATAAAAATATATTCGCTACTCCAACTAACTAAATATTCTCCAGCTCAGCACTAACTAATAAACTAATAACCTCTTACCTAACTACGAGTAACATGGCAACAATACGCACACTAACATGCAGACTTTGACTGCAATAATTTGCACTCCCTACTAAAACGGTCCCCAACTTTTAACACTGGCATTTTATTTTCCACTTTACAATTGCTTTATTTTCCGCAGTGAGGCCTCCACCTCCTGGCCACCTAATCCAAATCCACAGCCACTCAAACGGAGCGGCAACAACGAAGCACTTGTCATTAACAAACAACGCAATACCTGTTTAATTTTTATTGTGAAACTTGACTTGGCGAGAGCTTAACTTTTCCCGATGCAGCGCCGGTTAGATACAGACACCCACCAACGAAACGCCCACCCAACACCCAACACCCAACACCCAACACCCACCGCCTGGGGCCATGGATGATGTCAATGGCCGGGCACCGAGCTGGGAGCGAGCAGTTCGACGATATGTTTAATGGCACTAGCAATGGAAAAAGTTTTACGTATAGCAAAGCAATTCAATTGAAAATAATTAGAAACGTAGCCACATGGCGAAACTTCTTAATTGCCCGACTATTGTGCGTCTACACTAAGCAAAATCTCTACTTGATGACTCAATTCAAAGCTTACAAGGAATCGAAATAGAAATAAAGAATATGATTGTAAGCGACCTTTGATGATTGTTTTATTTTAAGTTTTTTCGGCTCGAGGTAAACAATTGAAAAAATTTTTAAAACAAAAGTTTTTAAATTTTATTTTTTTCTTTCCAATATATTTTGGTTGCACTTCGGCAACCGTCTTCAGGGCAAATAATTGTACACGTCTGAAAAAACAAAAAAATAAAATTTAAAAACTTTTGTTTTAAAAACTTTAAATGAAATAAAGAATAATTAATTTTTGTAACATCTGCAAGGGTATATAAACGTCGGCTTTCCGAAGTGGTTTCCTTTCTTTTTAAACATTTAAGATCAAAAACGTAAATTTTTTAAAGATCTTATTTTTTAAAGTTTTTTTAGATCAGGCCATGTCTTAATAATTAAATTTATGTTTTATGCCTTTTTACCAATTTAGATCAAAACTCAAGGAATAGGTTATAAGCACTAAAAATACCTTATTTTGGCCAAAAACTGGATTTATGCTCAAATTAAACAAAAAACTGTGAAATTGAACATTTTTGACCTAATTGTTCCTATGACAGCCATAGAATGTACAAAAAATCCGATTGCGAATGTTTGAAATCTCCAGCTTTTAAATTGACCTTCTAAACGGTATAGAAACAGACGGAGATGGCTATATCAATTCGTCTAGTCATGCTGATTAAAAATATATATATATGTACTTTATAGGGTCGGAAATTTAAATAATACCTATTGTATAATACCCTCTGCAAGGGTATAGAAAAAAACATTTTCATATTTAAGAAAACATTTTGAGCCATTTAAAAGGCAATAAACCCTAGTTTTTTTTTCTAAAAATACCTTTAGAAAAATAAGGCCGTTTTAAATATCCTACTGCAGAGAATAACGATCTGCCATATAATTTTGTTTATAAACGATATAGTACAAATTTGTTCCGAGTGTATGTGACTACGGTGGAACGAGGGTTTGACTGAGAATTGAAAGAGTGCAAAGCACAGAAAGTTGCATTATGCATAAGCCGCTTGGTCTTGAGCCATTATCGAACCCCACACGTATCCAAACATCGGCTGAGAAAGAGAGCCACTGAGGCAATCCAAGAGATACGAATCGAATGAGAGATAGAGAACGACTTGGCGATAGGAGCCGTATAAAATAAGTGTGTCTATGTAATGCTAAGTCATTGGAACTCCTCGCCTTGACCATGTACCTCACACAGCATATCGCGGTGCTCTTGCTCTGGCTCTGCTTCGCCGTCCTCAGTGGTGAGTGGTGTATTTAAATCTATTTATATAGCTCATACATTTGTCATTCGTATTTTTCACTCCCGAAGTGCATGGCAACCCGTGGAACTGGGGACCTGCCTCGAACTCCCGACCGAGGGGTGGACCCGCCTGGAACGGCGGAGGAGACGAATCCACCGATAATATAGTATACCACTCAGATGGCGGCAAGTGGCGTTACTAATTTTAACCAAGTGTGGAAGCCACGCCAACGACCAAGTCGTGATGCATTTTCCAGTAAATCCATGAATAACTTTATAAATATTTTGTTTTTAAATTGTTTTTTCTCAGAACTTCAGTCGACACCAATGATAATACTCTATTAACGATATACTCAAATAAATATATTTACATATATATATATAACTTATACCTACATTCGACTTTTAAATACTTTGCTTTACTTGGTTTTCTTACGAAATCTTGATAGTTTAATTAAACATGTGACAATTAATGTATCTTATGTTGATGTCCACATTGTTAGTTAGTTTTGAGATTCGTACAGTGGAAGGGTAAAGTTAAACTGTGAAAAACATAGACAAGTTTTTGGCCTTTTTGGAGTGACTTCCAAAATTTTTTAAACTGACAAAAGTTTTCTGAAAGTTTCCATGTATGGACAGTTAGCCGCCATAAGTCCATAAACTATGCTGTTTAGTTTTTAAACTGGACAGTCAGTAGATGGTATTCTTAATATACTCTTTGAGAGGGTATAATAATTTTGGACAGAAGTTTGTAGCGCAGTGAAGGAGACAGTTTCGACTCTATAACTTTTTCGATCAGCAAACATAGGTTAGTTTAGTGTTTGTCTGTTTGACTGCTTCTACACCTCCTTTCTATAGATCCGTTTAAAAGCTAGAGACTTTCACATTCGTCTATTTATATGTGTACGCAGATCATGTTTAAATCTGATTAAACGTCTATATATCATAGCTATAGGTGCAATCGGGTCAATTTTGTAAACTTTTTCCGAAAAAAAAAATGTTTTTTTCTCGTGTTTCTGTCCAATATAATGTTTATATCGTGTTTTCGGACAAATACATTGAGCTTTATCAAAATCGGATGACAATCCTATAGTTGTTATATATCCACCATACAGGCCATATAGTTTTATGCAGTTTATTCGCGCAGTGTAAAAGCTATGAACATACAACTTTCCGAATCGTATATTTCTATGTTTACACTGATCATGTTAAAAATTCTGGGCGATCAAATGACTATATCCTTAGCCATTGGAACGATTGTGAAAAAAATATTTACATTTAGTTGTTTTTCTATAATTTGGTGATTTTGTATCGATTTCGCTGTGCTGTTGTCATCAATTTTCGTTATGACTGTTTCTGTATATTTAACAAAATGCAATACATATGGAGAATAAATAGATATACGTTTACAGGGTTGTTTGTTTACAGAATCCGTTGAACTGATAACCATATTATTGATAAGGCTGAAAACCAGTTTTATGGGAATATTTCTGATTCCCTTGGTTGACCGTCAAAACAATGTCGGCACGTGCTATATTAATTTTCTACAGCAAAATGCAAATTGCACCACGCCCATCTGTCCGGTTTATGGCAAATGTGCGTACTACTGGCCTGGCCAAAAGCTTTCCCGATTTGACACGCTCCGCTCTCAGTCGATCCGTCAAAATCGGGAGTCGATTGGCAAGCCAGTGACTCAGTGCATCGGTTACTCTGTAGCTCGACCGCAAGTAAACAAAACAAACCCGTCGCTGGCAATTCCCGGCAATTGCGCCGCTGACCTCCTCCCCTGGCTTATCGGCAAGTGTGGAAGAGTGTTACTATAGTACACTGAGAACGGATCATATAGAATATATTGAACGCCGACGACGTGATGAGCCGATATTTGGTGCGCTAGTATAAATAGCTGACACTTGACTTGGCGTTGCCATAGTCAATGCAATATGGGCTCGAGCACTGGAACTTGGATTCTATTGGGATTGGTGGCCGGCGTCGCCTCTCTGGCTAGCGGTAAATACAAATATTTTCTTGAATTCCTGAATGCATCTCTTGGCTGAAAGTTCTCCAAGTTAAATTTGTTTAACCTTCAAGCTTACTTCATTTTCCCCATGCTTATTGGGAAAATAAACAAATTATGATACCAAGCGTTAAGCAAATAAGTAATGTTTGTTTCTTCTACAAATTTGTTTTAAACATTAGTTGAAATTAAATGGCTTGATATTGAACAGTGGAACTTATTAATTTTTTCAACTACAGCTGCAAAAATACCCCAATCCGACGAGCAGACGATTCTCCAAAACAATGGAAATACTTTTCTGTCCAACGGAGCAGGGCAGATTATTCAAGGACCAGATGGGAAAACGATCTTGATTGGATCGGATGGCCGGAGGATCATTGCGGACGCTGATTCCAGCGAAGAGGACGATTCCCGCGATTACGGACAGGGTAATAGCAACGTCATTATCAACGGCCAGTCGGGTTCCAGCTTGATTCAGAGCAATGGGCACAGCTTCATCTATGGAGACCAGAGCCACGGAAGTTACATCAACAGCAATGGACGCAGTGTGCGGATCATAAACGGAGCTATTGAACTGAATGAAAACGGACAGGTGTACACGTTCCAGCCAAAGGCAGCGGGTGTGAACGAAAAGGAAACGGTGGATATCAACGGGCAGCCGGCTCAGGTGGAGTACTCCAATGGCGACATAGTCATCGAACTGGCCGATCACACGGTGATCGCCAAGACCGGAGGACGTACCTTCCTGGGTGATCGCTACTCCTTCGACAATCGCGACAAGCTGGAGGCGGAGGCAAAGAACTACGCCCAGCGGATCGAAAACGAAGTCAGGGCCACTCTCCAGAAAACGATGGAGGACCTGAAAGCAGAGTTGGGCAGCCTTTTCGCCTAGAACCAAGTAATTGTACATGAGTCGCTCTGAATAAAGCGCATTTGCAGCATTTGTCTCGCCTTCAAACCTTAGATATGCACACATATGCCAAACCAGGAGCTATTGAAGTCCCTGGCAAATGCAAATTTAGCTGCCAACCCTTGAGGGGCTCTTAGCCATAATCTCTCGATTCACACTACCTGCGGCCTTAAGTGTGTGTGGTCAATTACCGGGAATTGCCGCCCAGCTTAGGTTATGTGATTGATAAGCGGGAAATTTGCCGTACCGGCTTAGGGTTTGTTAATTCTAACGCTTAGTTGAACAGCCAAGACAGTTGGGGGCAATTCGCGATTGGAATATAATTACCGAGCTTCTTGGTATTTAGATGAGGGATTTTCCCAAAAGGCCTTGGCCCACTTGACCCTGCTCTAGGCCATTGTCTCACATTATTGGTATTTCCAAGCCAATTTAATGGATTCTTAATTAGTGGCCTTGATCTTTTGTCTGCTACAAATTGACAAATTGTGATGCAGTAAAAGTTCACTTAGCTAAACGCAAATAAATGGCAACAGTGCTCTTAATTAAATTAAGGCTGGTCAACGACATTTCTGGCTCACCGGTTCAATATATTTTACCATAAATAACCAAATAAGTCGATTAGACATAAAAGTAATTTTATAACAAGAATAATATAAACCCTATTAGATGGAATTACTAAACATCTATCTATAAAGGAACTTGGGAAAAATGACATATTCAAATTTATTTATAGAGAACTATAAATTGTATTTAGTCGGTATATCAACAGAAGCGTTCGACAATTCGATCCGATTCGATAAATAGGCCGGTAGTATTTAGCACCAAAAGACGAAGGGTCTAAATTTGTAGTGTCTATTTTTGCACTTATCTAATGGCAACCACTGGCGATATTCTGAATGGGAAAATTGGCCACGATACGAAGATGAACTTTCCGCTGACCAAATCGCAGTGGTCCGCCTGGTACACCGCTTTCTACGAATCTCCCCAGAATCGTCTGGCCCAGAATGTTTGTACCGCTCGGGATCCCATAAACGCGTGTCTGCGTTCTCTGGCGGACTTGAGTTCCGAAGTGTCCGGCGAAAAAACATGGCATGATGTGGATACGCAGGGAAAGGCCACCACTGGAGGTCCCGGTTGGATTTGCACTGGTCTGGACCTTCTGCGCCAGGAAATGGACAGAAAGATGCCGCTTCCAGTAGACTTTGAGCTATCCGCAGGGCATTTGTTTTTCTGGCACAAGCTGGAGCGATGCAACTACTTCCTGTGGACAGTGGCCGATCTTCTGAGGCAATGCCAACCGCTGGATGGACGCTGCTTTCGGCATCTCATGAAGAATGCGATTCCAGATGGCGGCAACTGGCAGATGTTCGTGAACCTGGTCAAGAAGTACGGCGTGATGCCCAAGAAATGTTATCTGTCCACCCAGCGGATCCGGAAAATGAACAAGATACTGAGGAGCAAGGTGGGTACGGTGGAGCTTCGAGTTAACAATGAATACACAAACTTCCTTATCCCACAGCTCCATGAGTACGCTAGCATGCTGCATGCCCAGTTCACTTTCAATGGCAATGGCAACCGGCTGCCCGAACTCATCCAGGACATGATTCCGCATCTCTTCAACGTGGTGAGCATCTGCCTGGGGGAACCACCCGAGGTCTTCAACTGGACATTCTACGACCACAAGAAACGCTACCAGTCCCTGAACAACTTGACATCGGTGCACTTTTACGAGGTGTTGGTGGCATCCACGGTCGACGTGGACGCCTTCGTTTGCCTTGGTCACGATCCTCGGATGTCCTCGAGTTCCCAGAACAACTACCAGATAAGCCACAGTTCCAATATGATAGGAGGTGAGCCGCACCGGTACAACAACCAATCTATGGATGTTATAATGCAGATAATTGTGGATTCCCTGGCCGGCGGCAAGCCTGTTTGGCTGGGCTGCGACCTTCGCAGTCAGTTTGCTGGCAAATCTGAGCCTTTGAGCCTTAAGTCCCATAAATTTGACTTGGTTTTTGGTTTTGAAGTGGGCATGTCCCTCACCAAAGCGGAAAGACTCGTCTACAAAGACTCGCGACGAGATGCAGCTCTACTGCTAACATCTGTTGGAATGGACTCTCTAAAACAACACGTGCAATTCCGCACATTTGGTGCTTCGGTTATTGGTAGTAGGTCATCCACCTTAAGCATTAATGAGGCCGTCGAAGGTGACAATAAAAAGAAGAAGGATAATGAGGAACTGAAGAAGAAATCTGCGAAAAGCAAAGCCGTTTCAATGGACGCAGACTGGATGAGGGAATACGCCTTCGAGATTGTGGTCCACGAAAAATTCGTGCCGCCGGGGGTTCTTCATGCCAGCCGAATCCAGCATTTCAAGGAGCTCCCCGCCTGGGAACCCATGGGTGCATTGCTTAAATAAAGAGAAAAGATTTGTATCTAATCTTTACGGCGTATTTATATTTGGTTTAAGTATATTTAAAAGATTTGGTTACTTTACTTCATGGAAAATATTTATTGCATTTCCTTTGTTAGCCACCCACCAAATATGAAACACTTCATAAAAGATATTTTCTTTCATCTTGTCTTATGTATGAAACTTCTAAGAAAAGTAAGTCAGAATAAAAACTAATGATATGTCTTCTTAATTATTTTAGTACCAATTATCGATTTCTTCTTATAGCAATGTTATTCATTCTTCTTTAGTGAAAATAATTACAATATACGTTATTTCCTTACGTAAAATGTACTGACGGATCCTTAAGCTGTGAACTACTGACAACGAACACTTTAAGTGGCTCATTTTGGAGTTCCCTGCGAACTTTAGTGTCAGTCGCCAATCGGTTGTATAAAATTATTTTAAAATCCCGCAACGTTGTCTCCTTTGTGGCAGTTGTTGTCATCGTCACCGAGGCGCGACCTTCACTAAGTTTTTCGGGAATCGGTCCTACGTGCCCGGCATGCCTAATTAGGCATTAGGGAGTTCCAAGGCAGAGTTGGAGGAGTGGCCAGCAAGACGGCAGCAACTGTTTTCGACTTAGGGGATTTGCGCTAAGGAATTTGCCTTTTGCATAAAATAAAAACAACAGAATTAATCTTTGGCTTTAAGGCCAGGCGTCCTTTATTTTATTAAATGTGCTGCGAATAGATCTTTAAAGTGTCGTCTACCAGAGGCGTCTGTCCGTGTTGTAGTAGGGATAGGGTTGCGAATATCCGGAATAAGGTGCGGGAACCACCCGCTCCACAATCACAGGCTGCACCACCACGGTTTTTGGCAGGAGCAGTTTGCTCAGGAGATGACGAGGCCGGCGTATGCAGTTAGTGACCTGGTCTGCCGATGTCGATTGATCTGAGCACCCCGCATCTGCTGGAGTGGCCAATGAAACAGCATGCTGCTCACCATCTGACACACCAACATCTGCAGCGTGGTTATCAGGAAATGCCACAACCATCGCAATGGTGAGGCTGCTCAGCAGGAGAAAGGCTACGAACTTCATCTTAATGTGTGTGGTACGATCTGTTGTTGAATGTAAACTGATTTCTGAGGAGTCCTGACTCATCCTTAAATAGGTACTACAGGTAGATCGGGTAGACCTTTCTACCTGAACCAGGATTATGGAGGCCCATCCCTTCAACAGCTGCATCAGGTGATTAGCCTACTAGTTTTCAGAAAAGTGTTTACTGCTTTATGGATTATGGCTTAAAGAGACCGGGATGTTTGTAATTTTTGGAATGCTTCAAACTAGTTTTATTAGCTTCGATGTGGTTCCCTTTTACATGCACAAGCGCCCAACCTTATGCTATACACAGAGATATCTTTAGAGGACAAGGAACTGGGGTGGTGCTGGAAGACCGTCTGGTGGGGGCGGCATACCAGGAGGAACCTGTCGACGATGCTGTGGGATGAAGGAATCATTATAGATTAGAAATCCCCATGGCTTGTGCTTATTCTGTACTAACCCTGAAATGTTCTGGTGGTGGCGGGGCATCATTGGCTACCAGGTGTTCATCCAAGGCATAACGACGAGCCTAAAAAAAAGGGACCCAACATTAAATTTAGATAACATACGAAGTAGTTAATTACTCAGGCAATATGCTGAAACTAAATCCAACGATCAGAATATCAAAATATAAGCTATTTTTATAAATGTATCTACGTTAATTTAAAGTAAATTTAAAGGCACGAACCAATTTAACTTCACCTTAAGAAAACTGACATAAATTCAGAATTTGAAATACGTTACATTTTGGTTAAAATTCAAAGCAAGATATATTAAGAATTCGACGTGAAACTAAGTAATATATCTCAACAATGGCTCTTTTCCTACTTGGGGACTAAGTTTTTACTCAAAATTTTGGTGGCGGTGGTTTGTAGCCTGGAGAAGACCGGACTTTATATATATAAGCATTTGTGAATAGTTCGAATTAAGAGAGCTAAACTGCAAATTAGCTGCCAGTGCATTGCCTCATAGGATTCGAGTTGGTTCATCTGCCGTGGCGGTTTTTTTTTTGGGCTTAGAGTCTAAGGATTCGTTGGCCTTCAGAATGACCTTATTTTACTTACCCGCCTGAGCATCCCGGCGAACTTCGGCTCCTGCAAGGACAGACGATTAAGCCCGTTGATAGGTCACAACAAACCACCGAAACTCACCTCCACTCCGTTTGTGGTGCCCCCGCCACGTCCGTCGACTCCAAAGAGGGTCAGAGCCACAACGTAAATAACCAAAACAACGCAAAATAGCTTCATTTCCGAGCTGTCACGTTCTTACGGCTCACTAAAATGGTGAAAATTCCCTGGACGAATCGCTGCTGTTTGCTGTACGGTGGGTGCCAGTTCGACTTCTTTATATACCCGATAATACCGCTGGGGGATTGCATTTAATTGGCTTGTTGGCGGAGCTATCCGGAATCTTGTAAATTTGTGACCGATACATGTCAGGCGATAGACAAAAACACGTTAATTGGATATTAAATCGTTATTGTTTAAGATGCATCTTGCAGATACAATGAAACACACAAAGTCGCCGCATGAGTGAAAAATTTAAAATTATTGCATTAAAAAGATTCTATCAACATGATTTTATTCCCCATGACGAAAACAGAGAGAACATTTTTATATTAAAAAAAAATCATTAACTCTTGATGTTCTTTCCAGATCTAAGCTGTGGCATTTTGCTTAGAGATTTCTGCTAAAAATGTTGGGAAGGAAAAATCAGCGATACTTAAAATAGCGTTTTTATCCTATTATATAGTATATTACCTTTACATTTTTTTGGATTACAACTGAAACATTCGTTTTATTTATATTATCTTGTTTTTATGTCTTTATATTATGGAAATAAAATTAAAGCTTCGAGCAAAGAGGATAATTAAATGATAAAGGACCGTGCGTTTTACGTTTCGAAAGGATTATTTTAACAGGCGCAGTCCTGAATGTTGTATTTATAATGCAATAAGACCTGTAGAAAATATTTAATGTTCCAACCAAATACAATTTGCATTGTATGAAATTGTTACATGTTCGGAATAAGAAAGTATATAAATATTTATATTTGTCGGTCCTTTGTGCACAAATAGAGCACCTAATATTTAAAATGACCTAAAGTGTCAAATTCATAAGTCCCAAAATGTAGGTGATTTTTAACACTTCTCATTTTAGGTTGCTCTCTATGTGTAAGCCTGAATAAATAAATATAAATAAAGAAATTAGAAGATATCAGAACTTTTCGAAGTTCTTCGCAGTGCAACAATTAAATTTCAACCAGTCAAGGTGTTACCTCGAATTCGCTTTACAGCTGCAATCTCCGTGTTCCTTTGCCGTTATTGTTACCGTTACAACGTTATGCAACAATTTGCTACAGCTTCTGCACTGCCACGCCCCCTGCCACCCCCTCGCGATGGAGACAAATGATTCAGCGTCTCGCGCTATTTTTCATTATTTCCGCTTGTAAACGCCACAATGCGTCCACGTTTGCTAAGCTTTGCATAATTCCGAATTATAACGCGCTTTGATGTCGCCGCGAGGATCTCCCCTCCCTGTCACACTCCTGCTCCCTCTCACTCGCTCTCCCGTCAAGTCAAATACAAATGCAGGCGACATCGCAAAAAACTGTCAAAAGAAGGTGGAGTGAAGGGGGAGGGCGCAAAAAGAAAGTACACAAAATAAATAAGCGCACTTTTTTCTCATTTCCGTTGCTTACTTTGACGTGTTTAGTTTTTGATGTTCACACTCGCACATCCTTGAGAGAAAGGAGAGAAAGTACACTCATAAAAAGCATCGTTATCGATTTCAAATCGAAAAAAGTGACGTTTGTCTTTTCTCCGCAGTCTAAGTTTGTTTGAAGAAATTTTAGTTCACTAATGAATTGAAATGTTATTTTTTTAAGAAAAACTGCCTCTTTAGATTAATGGTGATTTTATATTACTATTTATTTTATTTACTAGCTGTCTACAATATTCTTCAGATCCATTCAAGAATTTTGGTTTTAGAAATATTAATATATTAAGGCATAAATATGTCACTGGCTCTCATTTTTTCTATATTCTATATGAAATGTAATCCAAATATCTTATAAAAGCACAATATTGGAAAGATTTTCGTCCAGTAGAGTTCTAGAGATGATCACGGACTTAAGACCGACTTCTTACAATATTTTTAGTATCTTGCTACAATTTGTATTCATTATTAAACAACTATTTCTACAAATATTTTATATTTCCTCAAAATATTTTATTTATAATTTGTTTTTGAAACTTCTTAACGTTTCCAACTGAAATGAATACCTTAAATTTATTTTTTTACCCAAGGATGCCACAAAGCGTATTTTCTAAAAATAAAAAAAATAATTTTTGTGAGTGTGGCGAATGATTAAAATCGCCGACAACATGGACAGTGTTCGCTCTCGCTCTCCCCATTCCTCCAGGACATCTAGTAGCTCTCTCTCTCACTCATTCTATTGCCATCTCCCTTTCTCCAGATATTGCTGTCTCTGTCGACGGCGCTTCCCCTCTTTGTCTGTGAGGAAACTTTTCTCATTAGAAAACTTTTACTATTTCCGCTACTCAACGCCAAACGCAAACAACAAACGACAAAAATACGAAAAACATAAAAAAGTGCCACGTTCGAAAGACCGAAATGCGTAAATGTAATGTGTTGTAAATAAAATGTTTGATGCGCCTAAAGCTCCAAAAATGTACTGCGACAAGTTAAAGTACAGTTGCGTCTGGAAAATGCATCCAGAAAGTGATCAAAAATTTCAGCACAAATTTAAATTCCCTTGGTCGAATTTTTTAGTGATAACTTTGAATGAACTACATTTAATTTTTGTGTTAAACTTTGAGAGAGAGAGGGACATTTCCTCAACATATTACATCTTTTCGTTCATGAATAAATTGAATGATAGTACAATAAAAATATATATACATATATATATTTTTTAAATATGCTTAATTTGAATCTTTGAAAGTTAAGACCACAATAATCCTTTAAAAAACTAATTACATGCCGTACCATTCAACCATCAAATTCGATATTAAGATATACTTTATAAATTGTATTTTCAAAGTTAACGCTTATTTAGCTCTAGGAAAATCGCCCTAATAAGAAAAGTTAAAAGACATTCAAATTTGTCGTCTAAAATCAATTGTCTTACACATTGTGATCGTTAACACTCTGCTTCACACATGTGTTGTGAAATCGTTCAGTCAATAAAGTATCCTAAAAATCTCCTAAAGTTAACGTCAAATATAACGCTAATCGCCTTAACATGAAAAATATAAATAAATGTAAATTTGCCGTCTAAAGTCAATTGTCTTACACATTGAGATCGCTAACACTCTACTTACACCTGTGTGAAATCCAGGTAAAACTATAACACAATATCAACGACAGACAGCAATAGAGGCGCCTAAAATTTCACTTTATTCAATTTGCAAAGCCAAGCAGAAAACGCTGCTTGGAAATCAATAAATCAGTTCGCTCAGAAGCTTACCTCAGTTTCAATTCAATCAGATTTTGTTATTTGATTTTACCTTTGCCTCCGCCTGCGGGTCACCCCTGACCCCGCTCCCCTTCCCTTCCCTCCCCGCCCGCCTGTTCTTCCTTCTTCCGGTTTCCTGTGCTTGCAGGGCATTTCCTTCAAGTACTTCGCATTTGCTCTAATTTGATTTTGAGCAGCAGCTTCTTGTGCCATTGCCGCTGCCATCCTGTCAACTGTCATCGCGAATTTGAAATGCTCGCCCGTTTTGAGTCGCAAATATTGATTTCGATCCGAAGCTAACTGTTACACAGGAAGTGGCTCTGATGCCGAATTTAACTATAGAAACTACACAGTTTTCAATTTGTCAGTTAATAGTCGGGCGTATTTCGAAAAGGGGGGTGGTGGCTTAAAGCTAAAAGTGATTGGGTTTAATAATCGTCCACATTTCAGACATCTTATTTGTTTACAATTTGTCATCAGTCCATTTCGATAATTAAGTGCATAACTCAGTTTGAGTAATTTCTTTTGAATTTGAGTACGTGCTAACTAATAATAACTGAAATATAAATTTTTATCACTTTAACAATTATTACATAACTTCTATTTTACAAACCAATTAACTGGTTTATAATCCCTATGCCCCGAAATATATTTATTAAATACACAATTGTTAAATTACTTTCAGTTTCTCCACGTAAATGTCCCTTAATTGCTCCAAACAGTTTCCAATACAAGTTCGAAAAAAATAATTAAGCTAGAATAAGCAAATACAGCTCAACATTCATAGCAATTTACTATTACCACTTTAATGGTATTAATGGGAATGAAAAATTCAATTACCACGCGGGCCATTAGTAGCGCCCATAGATCTGACGCTGCCATTTAATGCGCCATAAGTAGCCAGTGAAATTAATGCCCGACTGCCCCAATTGACAAAGTGCCCGGTTCAGGCCGAGCCATTGCGCTAATGCAAAACATAAACCAGGCAGCCGGGAGACCGGTGAAATGTGTTTTAGTTGTCGATGCATATTCGCCAAATAACCAGATCCAGATCCAGATACCCTCTCCCAGCGAACTGTCGGTAATAAGTTCAATAGCGCCCGTTCAACTCCGGAAAGCTGCATCACGTCGCCGGCAAACGAGGGCATCACGAACCGGATAATGATCAACGAACTGTATACGTTTCCGCAATCGTAGTCAAATCGACAAACATGCACACTGAGTGCAGCGGCTGGCTCGACAGCTCCTCCAGCTCCTTTTTACTCCTTGCTGCTCCTCTTGCTCCTCGTGCTCCTCCTGACTGCTCCTCCCCGCTCCCTACTGCACCCCATTGCTCCTTGCCGCTGTCACTGGGGACTACTCCGCATCGGAATGGCATCGAGGCCGAGGAGCTTTGGAGATGTAGCCCAAGCAGCTTATGCCGCTTCGCTGGGCAACGCCAGTGCCAACAACTACACTGAGGGGAAAATCGTCTTCAAAACGATAAAATTATTGATTAGCCATAACAATGTGATCAATATTAGAAAAGACAATTTTTTAGTAAGAGGATCACACTTTAGTGCACATAAAGGAATTATAGTTGAAACAAAAACACAATTTTATTGTTTATCCCTTAATATTAAACAGACGTTTATCATTGGATTTAAAATAAGCTGTATTATTATTAATTTTTGTGACATTATTCTTCTAAATTTCCAACTTCTCTAAAAAATTTAATATTAACCGCATTTTTAAATGTGTTAGGGATTTAATGTATTGGGTTTCAATGGATAGGTAATATACCGAAAAGGTGCAAATCGAACCATGTTCAAGATAGATAACTTTGTTATAT